TTGGCAGTAGGAAACACATAGACTATTATGGAGATTGATTTTGGAATTTAGATGCACTGTTATCAATTGTGCTTAGCCGTAGATGTTCATATCCTTGAAGATGTATCATGGGAGTGTTGCGTCACATTAATCATAATACCTACAATGTAACCACACTCCACTCTTTCTACTCAAGTCTCTGTGACTTTATTCCTTTAATCCTTGTAGCCTATCCCTCTCCTTTCTGAGCTTTATCCCTGGCAAATGCTGCCTTTCTGATTTTATTTTTAATTTTTATTTTTCTGATTACTCTGAGGAATGAGTGCCTTCTTGATGTTATCATTCAGCCTTCAGGCCCGTTTTTTGGCTGAAGATTCAACTATAGTGATGAGTTTTGTTCTGAGTTTGAAGGACGGCTTACGGCCATAGTCTTGACGATTCCATCAGTCTCTACCACACCAGTAAGCCTGGGCGTTTTAACTTTTTATTTTGTTACAGACTTTTTACCCATTCTATGCAAGCTTTTCTTCTGTGCTCCCATTCTAGAGTGGACACAGGTGTAGATTATACTCTTTATGAAAACATCATTAGATACTTCTAGCACAGAGATAGAGGGTGAGTTATAAACACTAACATCTCAGTTAACAGTTACAAGCTTAACCACTGTGCTCTCAGTGTTCTTTTCCGATTCAAATTTCAATAAAAATACTAACAAGATTTTTGGTAAAAATTTTAAGGTTGATTTCAGAATTCATCCAGAAGTCGAAAGGATTCAGACCAACTAAAACATATCACAATTTTTGGGAGAACTACACTATCTGATTTTAAGAGTTATTATAAGGATACCTTATAGTAAGAGGGAGTTCTGGTGGTCAGTTGTGCTATAACTCCAAAGGCACACGGTTCAAATGCACCAGCTGCTCCTCAGGAGAAGGATGGGCAATCTCCTCTTATAAGATTAACTGCCTCTGAAAACATGCTGAGGGGCAGCTACAAGTCAGTTCTGACTCAACAGTACACAAAAACAACCTAAGGAATCCTAAGTAAGGGTGGCATGATATGATAAGTGGAGGGCCATTAACTGAAAGACTAGTGGTTTGAATCCACCAGCTGCCACATAGGAGAAAACTAGAGTCTCCTCAAAGATTTAAATCCCTGGACCCAAGAGAGGGTAACCAAGAGAGACAGTTTTGACTACATGACAGTGGGATCAGTTTGGTTTGGTTTTTGTTAAAGAAAGCTATTAGAGTCAAGGCAGTATTATATGGAGAAAAAGAGAAATCAGAGAAAATGCACACATCAATGGACTATATGTTCAGAAAGATATAAAAGTAAATAAATGACAACTATGAGATATCATCTCACCCCAGTCAAAACAGCAAAATTTAACAGAACAGCAAGCAACAAAGGCTGGCGAAGTTGTGGAGAAACTGGAACCCTTATTCACTGCTGGTGGGAGTGTAAAATGGTGCAACCACTGTGGAAAGTGGTGTGGCGCTTTCTCAAAAAGTTGCAAATAGAAATACCATTTGACCCGGCAATTCCACTACTGGGAATATACCCCAAAGAGACCATAACTGACATCTAAGCAGATAT